ATAAAAATACATCTAGTATTTTTATATATAAAGTTATTTTTAACTAATCAAATTTCATTTTTATCTCTAAATTTTGACCTTAAGTATATATAACCTACTAACATATAGAATAAAATATGTGGACTTTAACTCTAACTCTAAAATATAAATAAATTTATATATAATATATATTTATATAAATATGTAAATAACTAATAAAAATGTGTATAGTATTTTTATATATAAAATCATTTTTAACTAATTAAATTTCATTTTTATCCCTAAATTTTAATTCTAAGTATATATAACTCTAACTTTAACCCTAACTCTAGATCTCTTATATAGCAGTCTTGCAATCTAACTACTATACTAAGATCACCAAACCTTTTAAATTAAATTTATTAAATTTTTACATATAAAATAAAATATATAATATAAAGATAAATATTATATATAAACTTAAAACTTATTTTAAATATATTGATTAATAATCTTTATACTAATACTTAAATATAAAAAATAAAATTAAAATTTAATAATCTAGTATAGTAAATAGGTTTTCAAACTACTAAGTAATAGATTTGAAGTTTAAATCTTACTTTGTTAGCAATTTGAATAATTTTTTAAATTTTGTATCTAACTTATAGTAAACTCTTTTGTTTCTAAAAATTATAACTTATAAATTATATTATACTAATATTAATCAAATATTAGAACTATAATAGAATATTAGTATTATATTATATAAATAAATTTTAATAGAATCTATGAACAGAGAATCTGCATAGTAGAAATTCTGAGTTAAGTAAAGTAGTATAAATTTTAATAGTTATATTAGTTAATACTTAATCTAGTAAAAAAATCTAAATAGAAGAATATAGACTGAGTATATATAGTAAGTTTGTGATATCAGGTATTATAGCAATACTAATTTAGCTTGATAGCTAACAAGATTAGGAGGATTTGCTTTGTAAAATATTTAAAAAACATAGAAGTCTAATTTAGTAAAAAGTTATAGCAAGAACTGAGTTTATATAAACATTAAATAAGAGTATATATAAGTTAAATTAAGATATAGTAAAGTATAATTAGAATTGTAATACCTATCTATTAAAGAGTATAGAAATAGAACTTATCTAAATAAGACCTAGACTTATAATAGTAAAGTTTGTGATATATGTTAGCTTATATATCTTCTAAAGTAGAGTTTTATAGAGTTGTAGTTAATATAAAATATAATATTTGTAGTAAGTGAGATAGGACTAGAGGGTTTAAATAGATAATTTTCTATAAGATTTAGGATAATAGCTAGTATAAAACTTTTAGGTAGACTACTTAAATTAATAAACTAAAATTGTATATGTAGCTAGTTATATGTTTATAATATATATCATATTTAGTAACTATAAAACTAATAAAAGTTAAGCTAATAGCATTTGTATAAAGTAAAAAAAATTAATAAAATAAAATAAAATTAAAGATATTTGTAATATTTATATTAGCTATATTAATAATATTATATAAAAAGAAAATTATTATAAATAACTACTAGTAATTATTACTAGTAATATATAAAATTAATAATGATAAAACAAAAAAATTCTATTTCAATTACTTTAAAGTTAGAACAAGATCTAAAATTTTATTTAAGTTTTAGTATATACAAAATTTAGCAAAAAAATTTTTTTTAGAATATTAAAAATAGTTTTATAAGTAAATTTTTGAAATATAAACTTTTTTAAAAAAATCTTTATTTTTATTATACAAAATTGATTTGTATATTATATCTGATTCTACAAATTTATTAGTTAATTTATATACTGATAATAATTACTAGTAGTGATTAATAGCAAACTCATATAAAAATTATTTATATTTATCTGTTAAATTATTTATATATAAAATAATCTAAAATTATCTTGCAAAAAAACATAACACAAAGAGTTTTTTATTATTAGTAGATATCTTATATACAGTAATATTAATACTATAATATACTGAATATAATAAAATTATTTCAAATATAGATCTAAAAATTATAAATAATACTAATAAATACTAGTAAGTTTTTATATATTTAATCATTTTAATTTTAACCTTATAGTATCTGATTCTAATTTTAAATAAGATTATTAGAAATTAAATATATTAAACCATTACAAGGTCTGATATTATTTAAATATAAAATAGCTCCTGTAATGAAATTAGAAAATAATTCTATAAGCAAGTTTTTGATATTTAAAAAAAACTATCTGAAAACTTAAAAAGTTTTTATTTATTTTTAAAATATTATTATTTTTTAAATTTGAAACTAGCTATATATAGATTTAATTATAAAATATTTCTGTAATAAAGCTACAGAAGTTTTTTTTGCTAGTAAAATAATATTACATATTACTTAGATTTATATTTTCTTTCTCAACAATAGTATTTTGATATTTGTAATAATCTTTTATTTTTGTTGATTTATTATTTTAATAATTTATCTGTTCTTCAAATAGTATTTTTTTTTTCTTCTACTTCGCTCTCCTCATCTCCTACCTAATAATATTTTATATATCAAACTCCCTAAATATATCTTTGAACTTTGTTATATGTAATTAAATTTATTTATATAAAAAATTTTTTTGCCAAGGTTAATTATACTTATATTATATAATTTTACAAAACCGAAAATAAGACTAATATTTATACATGTAATTATATAAATACTAAATAATATTCTAAGTTACTACATAAAAATCATTCTATTTTATCACCATTTAAAACATTATTGGATTTATTATCAATTACATCATTTACTGGCATTTTCTTTTGCCAATGGTCAATATAGGGCGAAAGTGCGCCAAATATCCAGAAAAGAATCTTGCCTATTATATTAGCAAGCAAAGAAACACCTGACGCTAAGGAGGAGAATATTAGAATAGGATCCCATATGACACTATAGCTAAGAAATATTATCTAAGATATTTTATTAGTATAATAATTTAAATCAATTAGATTTTTATTTCTACTTTAAACATACAGTACCTGTATAATAAATTGTGGTATATCTAACAAAACTATGTTAATGCAACTTCCAATATAAATTATCTTCAATGATTTATCGGACAATGGCGCCCTGAAAAGGTCAAGTTTCATCACATATGACTTTAATAACAATAACATATCAATATTTGCTCCAGATATTAATGCAACGGTAGCAGCAGCTCTTGCATGTAGCGCAAACCATTGGACAAACTCTGGCCTCCGCTCCGATATTAATATTACAAATGCCAGAACTAAGTTGAATGCTACTGGAATTACCAAAAATGCTATGCTGAATTTTTCAATGATAGAAAATATTATTTAATATATAAATAATTATCAATAAAATTTATTTAACAAAAGATATGAAGTCTTACCTTGGTAAAAAAAGAAACGGAATAGTTGAAGAGTCAAAAATAACAAATAATATATAGGTGGTAAAACGAGATATGGTAACACCAAATTGGAGAATGACTACATTTTCTACTAAATCTTTATCCTCCTAAAAATATAATTTATTAAATATAAAAAAAAAAAAAATTCAAAACGAAATATTTTTATTAAATTCATTACCAGTTTTGTTCTCATCTTGGCCACTAAGAACATTAATAAAAATAGAGCTATGGCTACAATAAATATAATGAATTTTGTCTGATTTATAGCAAAGAACTCCGCTACTGATTCGCATTTACAATATAATAAATCAATTGAATTATAATAAAGAATAAAAAACCGAAATGAATTCTTACGATTTTTTTGATATCCATAAGAAGCATCTAAATATTTTGTGGTAGTTCCTGTTGATATACCCGTCGTTGCTTTATTCGTTATTAATAAATTTAAATATTTCATTACATCAGTTGAAAACAGTTTTTGATGAAATTTTACCCCTTTAATAGAAAGCGAAATAAAAATTCTCGATTTTTGATTTGGATCATATTGAACATTATTATTAATCGAGTATAATCTGCCTTGTTCTGTAGGAATCATGAGTGTGAGTTCATTTTGTAATGTATTGATAAAGTTAGATTGATCTGAGAAACTCAAGTTTTGATAATGTATAGTTCCTTCATCTGTTAATCGTAGTGCACCTTGAATACCACCTAATTTAATTAAAAAAATTCCTTTATAAGTTTAGAATTAATAACATGAATATTAACTTTATAGATATATTCAAATTATATTACCATCAAACTTTGTAGGTAGTTGGCTAGTATCTATTTAATTAATGAGATTATATATATATATATATTAATTAATGATATCATTTTTTTAAAATAATTAAATTTTTATAATAAAAAATGTAAACCTGTTTGAAATATCCACTTTCTCGGTTCGATTCCCAACAAGGGTTCGTTGTATTTTGCATCCAATACAAAACTATTATCCATTTGTATAAAATATTGGCCATCCGGATTATTAAAAGTAAAATCAAAAACATTAAGTGAGATGATATTGCCAGTAGCATTACATTGGCTACTATCACAATTTTTCATATTAAGTGTCTGCCGAAGAGTACCATCTATACTAAAAATGTTTAGAGAACCAGATCCAAACGTAACAGGATTTTCAAATGTTATGTTAATAACCTTATTATTTAATGATATTTGATTTAATAATTGATTTGGAGGGTATGTCGCGCTCACACGAAGATTACCATAGCCATTATCTATAGGATACAAAAATAAACGTTATTACTTTTATCATTTATCATTTTTAATATTTAAATTCAAAATGCTTTACCATTATAAGGAGAAAGTTTAGGCATAGTTATTGAAAGAATATTCCAAGCGCTTAATGATTCATTTTGCGCCATTAACATTGTATTATTTTGCAAAATGTCAAATGCGCTAACTAAATTTGCGATAATTGGATTTATTGGAAAGTAATAACTGGATAGTTGATTATTTTCATCATAAATACTAAAGTTGTAATTTACAGCAAGTACAGAAGTAGATCTCCATAATATTACGTATCCTCCATAAGGCAATGTTCTAAGATTCACAAGATTTATATTTATTACACTGGTGGATAGTGGAATTGTAAGGTCTAATGATATTAAGGATCCTGAAGAAAGAAAACGTATATTCACAAAAAATACTTCATTGGTGTAGGTTGTAGTAGGTTGACCTGGTACAACAGTGGGAGTGCCAACTGGGGGAGTCGTAGTGGTTGTGAATATAGTAGTAATGTTGGTTGAATTTTGAATAGTTTGCGTACCCACTACGGACGCAATACATGAATGTCCAATGGAAGCAAAGTCAACAGAACAATATAATGAATTAAATGTTAGATTCTGTTGTGGTAATTCATATAAAATAATTCTATTAGGTGTTATTGTTTGATTATAACTAAAGATTAGTGCATATATTCCTCTAGTCGGAGTAATTTTAGCTGCTAACGTGCTATTCGCGTTATTGGAAGGTATAATATTATTGGACGTGTTAGCATAGATAATTGCATATCCACCATTCAAGAATTGAATTACAGTAAGTTGAAAACTGGTAAATACAATGTTGTTGACTGTATCATTTGATAATAAATAGTAGTTTCCATTGCTTTGACTAAAAAAATAAAAATAAAAATAAACCAAATAAACCTAAGTTTATGTGTACGTGATTTAATTAACAACTAAAAAATTTAACATACTATGCATATTGTTGCCATTTGAAATTATTTGTCCCATTAACCACGGATAAACGAAAAAATCCCCTTTGAGGATTAATATTGTTTGCGAAATATTCATTTGGGTGCCAATTATTGGTGACCGGTTCCAAATAAGATGGTCCAAAATCGATAAAACTACCGTATAATAATATACAATTAATTATAACCAATTTAACATTTAGATGCAAATACTTTTAGCAAACCTTGCAACAGTCCCATTCCAATTTAAAACCATTCCTCGATCCATAAATGTTGTATTATCGGAAGTATTAGTTGCATGAGTGTATGTCACTAAGATGTATTGGTCAAATAACGGATAAAAATTCAGAGGATCCTTGCTTCCAACATAGCAAAAATTGATATCTTGTATTTCGCTAGTATTAGTATAATTTATTTCAATAACATTTCCGTTGCCTTGAAGAACGCGAAGCAATAATCTCTGTTCAAAACATGTATTAGTTCCAATGTTATTATTTACTCGACCGACACGAATAACTGCCACATTATCATTGCTTTGATAATGTCTAATAGCTAAGACGTGAGGTGGGGTTCCTGTAAGATTGTCTTGGTAAGATATTTCATCATAGGTAAAGTTTGAATAATGTATGGTTTGTGCAAATCCCGTTGGTAAAACGGCCAACAGAAGGACATTGAATACCAAATAATATAATAAAGTCTTCATTTTTTAAATTTGCATTTGAATCCTGCAAGATTATAATGTAGCTTAAATTAAAGCTGTAGTTCTGTCACAAAAACGAATGGCTTTATATATCAGTAAATAATTATTTAATTAACCCTACTTTATTTTGACTGGTATCCTTTACTATATGTGAACATGCAGTGTAATAATTTCACTGTATGTGGCCATGCAGTGTAAACTCCTTTTACCCTACATGCTGTTTTTGTCGGGTTGTGTTATTTTTATGCAGAGGATCATCAAAACAATTTCTTTTCACAATTTTTTAATACATGTAACTTCTAGCTAACTTCTAGCTAGTAGTTTCTAGTTAGTAACTTCTAACTAGCCCATCCAGAACTACAATCATTTTATATTTGCTCTTATGTCGTAAGAAAATGTATATCAGAACACTGATTTTGTGCATTTTGTTAACCAAATTTCTTGCATATATCGATTTTCTCCTTTTTTTGTTTCGGATCTTTTATTGGTCTGATTATTTGATAATCTCAATTGTACAGTAACGACGACTTCTCAGCGAAATAATTTGTGACTAATTCTTTATATAAATATCTATTTATTATTATTATTTTGTTGTTAACAAATGATATTATTATTGCTCGGCCAGATGACTTTATTTAAACAAAATAAATGACTTTATTTAACAAAGTTGAAAAACATATGGGAATAGAAGAGGATTGTTAATTAGCAAAACCCATTCTTCTAGAAAACTGTAACTTTGCTATTCTAACAAATCTCAAATATAACATAACTACTTTGCTGTTCTAACTTTCTATAGTACATATTTGTATCAAAGACAAACCTGCTTCTATTGCAGCTGTTGTGCTACTAATTCTAATGCTATAAGCTATAAATCTACCTTTAGCTCCTGCATTATTGGCTATTCTTTTAACAATAGCACTGATGGACCCAACTATTAGTTGTTTTCTGTGTTTTGACAGAAAAAGAAGTTCATTATCAGCAGTTTTTGGCCTTACTAATAAATATCTTCTTAATAACCTAACTAGGCAGTAAGACTATCTGTATATTCTATAGGAATAACCTTTCTATTTGCAAATTAATCAGTCTTAGAAGAACTTATACGCACTCAGCATAATTTATCTTCAAATTTAATATCCTTAAGTTTCAATTTACATAATTCACCAGGACGATGTATTGTTTTAAACTCAATAGCTACTAAAGCAGTATTACATATCCAATAATTTTTACTTATATAATGTAGCTTCTTATCAATAAACTGCTTTAAAGCAGAGACTGTTAAGAGGTCACAAGGCTACTTTAGCTCTTTATCCTTCTTATACTCTTTAACTAATATTTTATAAATTCTTTTAACTCTATAATCCTTAGAATTGGAAACTGAAGGAATATATGTGCAGTAGTAGCAGTATTTTGTTGTATCTATACCTTCAAATATCTATCAGATGCTTATATTTCTGATACCAAAATACAAATATTTGCATATTCATACTTGTTAAATTCTGAAACTAGAGATATGTTTTTAATTATCTCTCGTGCAGAACTCAAAAACTTAAGGATATACAAGCAATATCTTTAAGAATACTACTTGTTTTGTACTATTCCTCCAGACTAATTTAGTATACCACCACCCAAATTACCTCTACTATTAACACCACAGGAATTAACTCCTAGACTCCTAAAAATCTTTCCTTTCTACTCTAGAAATGCACAATACTTCAAAGACTATATTTACATATTAAGACAGGAATACGCCTTCCCTATCGAAAAAAGTATACTGAATTTATTTAGAAATTATACGGAATTTTTTCTGTATTAAATTTCGTATTTAATAA